CTTTATGCATGGAGCCAAAGGATGGAGATGGGTTCTACATGAATATTTTGTTTCGGTGTTCACTAGTGAGAGGGACGATATGGGCACAGAAATCAGGGAGAAAGTCAATTCTACAAATTAGCAGAAGGGAACGTTCTGAGTTGTCTTGCAGGCTTAAAAGTAAATAAATCTGTTGGGCTGGATGAAATGTATCCCAAGTTATTGTGAACTCTGCTTGTGTAACTGTGAAATCCTGCAATTTTCAGGCCAACTGGAGTCAAGAGGGGAGGAAATAGCAGGGTTGCTGGCAAAAATGTTCAATTCCTCTTTGGCCACAGGAGAAGAGGCAGAGGACAGTCAATGTGGTATTATTATTCAAGAAAGGAGAAAGGGATAAATCAGGAAATATAGGCCAGTCTAATGTCACAGGCAGGGAAAATATTGGAAACAATTCTGAGGGATAGAATTAATTGACACTTAGAGGCAGGGATTAACCAAGAACAATCAGCATGGTTTTGTTCAGGGGAGGTCATGTCTGAACAACTTGATTCAATTTTTCAGAGAGGTGACCAGGTGTGTAAATGAAAGCAATGCTTTTGATGTCATCTACTTAGACTTCAACAAGGACTTTAATAAGGTCCTGCATAGGAGACCATTAGCGAACCTGGTAGTGTTCAGCAAACTCAGCATCTATGGGATCCAACAAAATTTAGCAAATTGGATCCACAATTGGCTGGCTGAGTGACAGAAGGCAGAAGGTGTGTTTGAGGAGTATTTTTTCAACTGGAAGTCTGTGTTCTGTAGGCTCCCACAGGGGTAACTGTTGGGGCCCTTGCTGATTGTGATTTATCAGAGGCTTGATGAGCCAATCACAGATGATACAAAAATTTCTGAGGAGGCAAATGTTGAGGATAATAGTCTCGGATTACAGGAGGATACAATGGGCTGGTCAGATTCAATCTGGGTAAATGTCAGGTTGTTTAAAAAAGGCCCTTTGGACCATTGAGACTGCACTGACATTAATACTTCTGGCACCTTACCCATGGCCAGAGAGGAAATAAAAATTTGTGTCAGAGCTCCTGAAATTTTCTATCTTGCCTCCCACAGCAGCCTGGGATAAAATTCATCTGGGCCAGGGGATTTATTTATTTAAGTCCAACAGAGCCGCCAACACCTCCCCAATTCCTGTGTGAAAGTTCCCCATAGTTCTTTTCCTGAAATCTGTACTACAGTCTCCTTTTCCTGAGTGAAGACTAAACAGAAGTATTCATTTAACACACTTCCAATATCCTGGTGTTTCACACATAGGTTACCTCCTTGTTCCCTAATGGGCCCTGGTTAACCTCTTCCCTTTGTTGTATTCATAAAATAATTTGAGATTCCCCTAAATCCTGTTTGCAACTCCTATTTCATGCCCTATTTTAGCTCTTTCAATTGCTTTCTTAAGTTCCTGTTTGCACTTGCTGCATTCCTCCAGGGCCGCAGCTGAATTGGACTTGCTAAAGGCCTTTATTCATAGAATCCCTACAGTGTGGAAACAGGCCATTCACTGCACACTGACCCCCCCCCAAGAGCATCCTACCCAGACGCACCTCTATCCCTGCACACTATAAGTATTTAGTATGGCCAATGCAGCCAACCTGCACAACTTTGGACTGTGGGAGGAAACCGGAACCTCCAGATGAAACCCACACAAGCATGGGGAGAATGTACAAATTGCACATAAACATTCACCCAAGGTTGGAATCAAACTCAGGTCCCTGGCACTGTGAGGCAGCGGTGTTAACCACTGTGCCACCTTGCTGCCCTTTCACTTATTTCTCATCCTGAATTATCCTACACATTCAGGGTTCTCTGAACTTATTGTTCTTACATTTCCCTCTGAAGGGTATATGTTGGATCTGTACTCTCCCCAACTGCTTTTTGAATGTCTCCCATTGCTGTAGATGTACCTTCAAGGAGCTGTTCCCAGTGTACTATGGCCAAATCCTGTTTTGTTTTCAATAAATCTGCCTTCCCCCAGTCCAAAGCCATCTTTTGTAGGCCATTTTTTTCCTTGTCTAGAATAAATTTGAATCATACCATGTTATGGTCACAATCGTTAAAATGTTCCTCACTGCCACATTGAACACTTGTCTGACTTCTTTACCCAGAAACAAGATCCAGCACTCTAGTGTCTCTTGTTGAACCTTCTCGCATATTGATACAAAAAAGCTGCCCTGAATACCTTTCAAAAAATCCACCCGTCTAAACTCTTAATCCTTTGACTATCCCAATTTATGTTGGGAAAGTTGAAATCTGTTAGTATAATTACCAGATTATTACACTTATACACCTCTGTGAAGTGTCTACATATTTGTTCCTCTATTCCCTGCTGACTCTTTGAGGGCCTATAACACACACTCAGTTAAATGGCTGCTCCTTTAACATTCCTAAGTTCTACCCACAAAGCATTGTTTGAAGACATTTCTAAGATGTCATCTTTCCTTATTGCAGTAATTGACTCCTTAATTAATACTGCTACACCGACACCCTTTTTACATCCTCCTCTGTCTCACATAAAGATCCCATTACATGGAATGTTGAGTTGCCAGTCCAGCTCTTCCCTCAACAATGTTTCTGTGATCGCAGCAATATCATACAATCCGTGCCATTAACTCATCAGTTTTACCTGTGACACTCCTAGCATTAAAGTAAAGATTATCCATTCTTGCCTTACTTTCTTGACAACTCAACATAGCTGAACTCACTGTGACTCACTTCACTTGGGCAGGACAAACAAGTTAAGAGAATACACGATGAGCAGTAGGACTCTGGGAAGCAACAAAGTGTGCATGTCCACCTATCACTCAAAGTATCAGGGCACGTGGATAAAGTGGTTAAGAAGGCGTATGTGCAACTTTCCTTTATTAGCTGAGGCATAGAGCTTAAAAACAGGGAGGTTATGCTGAAACTATATAAAATGTTGGTTAAACCACAGCTAGAGTAATATGCGCAGATTGGAATTCACAATAAAAGAAGGGATGTGATAGCACTAGAGATGGTACAGAGGAGATATACCACAATATTGCCTGGGCCAGATAATTTCAGTTACAAAGAGAGATTGGACAGACTTGGAACAAAAACAGAGGTTGTTGGAAAAGTTCAGCAGGCCCGGCAACAGCCGTGAAGAAAAATCAGAGTTAATGTTTCGGGTCCGGTGACCCTTCCTCAGAACTTAGACCTGCTAAGCTTTTCCAGCAATTTCTGTTGTTGTTCCTAATTTACAGCATCCTCAATTCTTTTGGTTTTTATTTGGACAGTGGGGTTTTTGACCTTAGAGCAGAGCAGATTGAAGGCAGACATGATTGAGATGTGTAAAATTATATAGGTATACAGGTAGGGACTTTCCCCTTAATGGAGGGATTAATGACTATGAGCAATAGATTTAAGATAAAAGGCAGGGGTTTAGAGAGATGTGAGGAAAACTCTTTTCCACTCAAACTGGTAGGAATCTGGAACTCATTGCCTATAAGGGTGGTAGAGGCAGAAACCTTTTTAGTATTTAAGAAGTATGTAGATGTGCAGTTGCAATGCCAAGGCATACAAGGCTATGGGCCAAGTATTGGAAAATGGGAGTAGAGCAATCAAATAATTGTTTTTGGCTGGTGAAGACGTGATGGGCTGAGTAGTCTTTTTCTATACTGTAGATCTCCAGACTCAATGACTATGACTACAATAGCCAAGAACCCAACCTCACTCACCCTCTATAGCAAGCCATTTTAAACTTGAAGAAAGAAAGTTTATCTTTCCTGTGGCAGATGCTGCAAGTTGTGACTTAGAATTGGACAAATATGAGACCTTTTGTTGCATATTTGAAACAGCAACCCTGTGCCTCTTGTGAATCAGTGCAAGTCTTCAACAAAGTAAGGTTGAGGCATAACTTTCAAGTCAACAAGCATCAACTAAAGATTGACAAAATTTCGTGAAAAAAGACTCCAGAACTAATTTCCCAGTTTTCCCTTGACATTCTTTCCCCCATTTATGTCTATCTGCTTGTGCGTAAGGGTGAGATTGCAAGGAGTTTAAAGATTTAATCTGTAAAGTTTACCTAATTTAGTTTAATTGTTTACTTGTAGCTAGAATCTAATGGCCTATATTAAATAGTAGTTTCTTGCTAAGTACAAAAACCTGGTCTGGACTGTTTGTGAATCTGAGCCTGCAAATCATGTACTTTGGAGATTTTGCATTTTTTAAAAAAAAACTTTCAAACTTTTGTGAGGACTGCAGAAATACTGGGGCTCAATTTCTAGTGTACTATCCAAATGAGTTGGGTAAATGTAAATATGCACTTTGTCTCCACAAGGAGTGCATGGTGATCACTTATCAATACTGCCATGTACAGACACATCTGTGACAGGTAGATTTGTGAGGATGAGGTTAAATATGTTTACTTTTCTTGTTGGTTCCCTCACTATCTGACACCGATCTACTTTGGTACGTACGTTCTTCAGGATTCAGCTAGCTGAATTAGTGATGGTGCTACTGCGCCTTTCTTGGTTGTGGACATTGAAGTCCCCACCCAACATACATCCCATACCCTTGCTACACATGAGGAGTACTGATACATCACCTGATGTAGGGTGGTAGGTGGTAACCAGCATGAGATTCTTAATATTTCCACAAATGGGAATTATTTCTTATTATTTACTCTGTCCAGACCCTTCACGATTTTGAACAGCTTTATCAAATCCCCTCACAACATTTTGTTCTGTAAGAAAATCTGCCCCAGCTTCACTAATCTTTCCACAGTTATGAAGATTTTCATCCCAGACCATTCTTGTAAATCTTTTCTGCAGCCTTTCTAAAACCTAGGGATAGGAAGAGGCCATTCAGTCCCTGTTGCAGTTGAAATTGAGTAAGTCATGTTGCATTTTTGTTTCAGATAAGACTATTCAAGTACTTCAGCATACTCTTAGCAACAGTGAGATGCTGTTACACACTTGGTAACCAGTTGGTGAAGGATAAAATCAGAGCCAGTCTTTAGTTGGAATAGATTTATTTACGGTGAAATGTTACCCTACTGTTGTGTCAGTATTCTGCTGTTTACACTCGTGCCCCCAACCAATCTATGATCTCCACCTGAATGTGTTTAATTTCAATTTGTACAATTAACAGAAGCTATTCAGTCTGTTCAGCCAGTAATACAGGAAAATGATGAGGCCATTCAGCCTCCCAGATGTCTTGTTCAGGATCTCATGATGGTACTTTAGACATATAAATCTTCTACACAGAAGCAAGAAGTGGCTGTTCAGACATTCAAATTATTTAAGAACACAAGGATGGCAATTTATCCCCTCATTGGAACATGAATAAGATCAATCAGCCTCAACTCTCTTATACAAGAACTAGTGCAGGTCATTCAGGCCTGAAAGTTTCCTCTGCACTGTTCCGTCAAGTCCTTCTGGAAGGTGCAGAATTGGCAAAATACAGAGTAATTCTCCCTCTCATCTGTTTCATCAGTGGCATAAGGTAAAGCTTCCTCAACCCTGCTCTATCAAATGTTCTTAGGACAAAAAGGCTGTATGTTAAACTACCCTGTAAGTCAACACTGCCTTGTGAGAGATTTCCAAGGAAGGTAAAGCTTAGGTTATAGAATAAAGTTGGTTCTACACTTGCCTCATCAATGTTTTCCTTACACCTGCTACAAAGGTTATATAGAGTAAAACTCATTCTAGTCTAACCTATTAAATCCTCCTAAGGTAGATACAGCATGGGTTAGATAAACATAAAACTCCTGCTACAGTGTTCCATCAAGCACTCTCAGAGCAGATACAGAGATCTCTCTACACTATTACATTCCACCAAATGAACCCAAGACAAATGAAGATAAATAAGACAAATAAAGACAAGGAACAAAAACAAAGTTGCTGGAAAAGCTCAGCAGGTCTGGCAGCATCTGTGAAGGAGAAAACAGAGTTAACGTTTCTTTAACTTTCCTAAAGTCTGGAACCCAGGATTAGATCGCATAGCCCAGCAATAGGCCAAAATAACGTAGAGTTAACTTCCTCAGTTCTGAAACATTAACTCTGATTTCTCCTTCACAGATGCCGCCAGATCTGCTGAGCTTTTCCAGCAGCTTTGTTTTTGTTCCTGATTTACAGCTTCCGCAGTTCTTTTGGTTTTTATTAAAGAAAAATAAAGATTGGGCAGCATGGTGGCTCAGTGGTTAGCACTGCTGCTTCACAGTACCAGTGACCTGGGTTTGATTCCAGCCTTGGGTGACTGTCGGTGTAGAGTTTGCACATTCTCCCCATGTCTGTGTCAGTTCCTCTGGGTGCTCCATTTTCCTCCCACAGTCCAATGATGTGCAGGGTAGGTGGATTGGCTATGCTAAATTGCCTGTAGAGCCCAGGGATGTTTAGGTTAGGTGGGTTAGACATGGGAAATGCAGGGTAGGGGAATGGGTCTGGGTGGGATGCTCTTCGGAGGGGTGGTGTGGACTTGTTGGGCCGAATGGCCTGTTTTGACACCGTAGGGATTCTATGCTTCTTGAAAACATGCTTTACGCTGCCCAATTAATTCATCCAATGAAGGTATAACATAGGTTAACTGAACATTAAATCTCCCTTTAGACTATTGCATCAAATGGACCCAGGGTCAGGCTCAGTTTTTTTGAAACAAAGTGTTCCTTCTACGCAGTCCCATCAAACACCCTCTGCATGATTTAATAAAAAGTAAACTAACACTTCCATCTACCATTCTCAGAGCTGGTAGAGCACAGAATTAATAGAGTAAACGTCTGTTGTTCTGCATCAAATGGTCCCAGGTCAGGGAGTTCACAGATTAGATTGTGAGTAAATCTCCCACAGATAAGAACATAAGAATCAGGAGCAGGAGAAGATGACACTGGCCATTGAGCCTGCTCCACCATTCAATTCAAGTATAGTTGATCTTTGGTCTCAATTCCAGTTTCTTACTCCTTTTCTACATCCTTTCATTAGGTTTGTTAGCAAAAGTCACACCGGACACTGTTGCACATCTCTTAGCTTCTACAGAGTTGTGAATGTCTCTTTTTTGGACTAAAGGAAGTCTATAGTAAAGTTCTCCAAGTTTCAGGTGGCTGCTGACTTGGATCTCTTGAGGGCTTTCATTTGGAAGTAAAAGCACAATTTCAAAAACTGTGAATAGCATAAATTTTAGGTGTCCATTAAACAGGGAAGGAATGAGTTCAAGAGAGCAGGGAGGCTCAAATAAAAAGCATGCACATGTTAGGCTACAAATTGCAAGATGGTTCATTTTGGTAGAGAGGTTGAAGAGAGACAATCCACACTGAATGGGAATGATGTAAGGAGAGAGAGACAGACAGACAGGCAGGCAGAGAGAACGTTAGTTTGGCCTATTGCTGGGCTATGCGATCCAATTCTGGGTTCCAGACTTTAGGAATGTGATGAAGTCTTCAATGAGAATACAGAAAAGATTTACTGGCATGGTTTCAGGGCTGATAGATAGTAGCTTCATGGATTGGTTGGAGAAGCTGGTGTTCTCCTCAGAGAAGAGGTTAACAGAATATAGGTATCTAATTTCAGGAAGGTAGAAGATGGAACAAATAAAATAAGTAGTTTCCAACAACTGAATGGTTAAGAATGGGAATAGTTGAAAGATCAGAGTTAACATTAGGAAAAATGTTTTATTCAAATGGTTAGGAATAGGAATACATTGCCTGATAAAGTACTAGATGTAGATTCAAGAATAGGCTTCAATCGGATTTGGATAAATATTTGATCAAGAAAAATTACATGAAAGAATGGCAGAGTAGAATAAATTAAGTTGCTGTTCAAAAGAGCTAGTGACAAGATGGTTGATTGAATGCCTCCTCTGTGCTAAAGTATTCTCTGATTCTGTAAGTGTTCTTGCACCCATTTCCAATGTGAGGACCAATTCATTTTCTCCTCACCTGTCCCCTCAGAAGGCAATATTATGTTGATTGTGAATTTTTAATTTGTTGTTTAAAACTGGCCGTTACTTTGATCACCAAATCTCCTCTCGTTTAAGAGATCTTCATGCTGGAAGAGGATAGTTCTCAGTCCCATGGAGTGCAGATTAATTTGATACTAATGACATATTGAGCTGAGTCAGACAATCTGTGTTGGCATTGGTGTTGCCGGGAACGTACCTGGTAACTCTTCAGGTATGTTTCTGTGAGGCTCTGGCCATATTAAAAAATAAATCCCATGTCATTCTAAGTATTTTGGATTGCACTTTTCTGGAATAAAGACCCAACTGAATCAACGGTTCCTAAAATATTCTGTGGATTTGCATCATGTTTCAAAGCATCACTTTCTTCTGAGCTACTCTGGCTATTCCACTGAATCAGTGCGATATGTTTGAACTCCTGTGTATCAGTAGGTTGCTTCTCACATCCACCAAAGTTCCAAACAGTGTCTGGAGAATACAATGGCACAGGATTAGAACACTCTTGCTGCTTAATAGGGAATTCCATTTCCCAAGATTGGTCAGAATCCGTACTGAATCCATACAGTCTGGATCTTGCAGTGTCTGTCCTCCACATCTCCTTGATGACTGCACTGTTAGGCTTCCTCGCTCCTTCTTCTTCAGGATGAGGTGAATTTTTTTCTCCTGAATTCAAAGCTTCTTTATTCGTCATTCCCATCCCTTGTACCTCAGCTCTCACAGAGTTCGTCTTCATACTGAGATCACTAGTCATCTCCAATCCTGGGCTCTTCCTGCTTGGAGATCCTGCCTTTTGTTTTGGAGATTCCAAGTCCCGGGATGCTCCATATAAACATAATTTAGTAATCGTTTTCCTCAGTTTTTGAACTGCTTTTCCAGGACTGCCCTTTCCTTCTTGCAGTTTATTGGAAGCTCCTCCAATGGATTTATCAGGACTGAAAGAAAACTGGTGAACAGGTCCAATTTTCTGTACTGGTGTCTTAGAAACACGAGAGTACAAAGAGGTCAGGGCATTGGCCATCGTTGTCAGCACCTCAATTTGTCGAAACCGACCTGAAAGAAGATCAAATGCATAAGACCAACAGACACCCTTTGTTTAACTCTGCAGCAAAGCTTCCACAGAAATGATATCTTTGACAAAATAAAAAATCCAGTGACACTTCATAGCAGTGATTACCAGGCAAACTTAACATTAAGAGTTATTATGAAAAGTTTTGGTCAGACTTAGGTTTAAGGAGGATCTTCATGGGGGAGATAAAAAATGGAAAAGGCTGAGAAGCTTAAGGAAGAAATTCAAGACATTGCAGAAGTGGAGGAATGGTGAGGTCTTGTCAGTATGTCGACAGGTTGAGCTGGAGCACTGAATCATAGGTGCAGGAGTCAACGATTTAGCAACTTGAACCTGTTCCTTGTAAAACACCATTACTTATATATGACCTAACTCCATCTTACTGCTGGATAATAAAACGATGGATAGCAAATTTGAAATTAACAACATAACAACAATAAGATCTGTCGACCTGTCTGTTCCTCTTAATTGCTAGAAACTTTGATCAAATCACCCTTCAATTTTTCAAATTCTAGGGAATACAACACTTCTTTGTGTGGTCTCTTCTTGCAATTTAGCCCTCTGTGATGTAGAAACTCTGAACTGAAGAAATCAAACTGGATTCAAAACATCCACAGTATTTTACATTTATGTGATATATTAATAATGATTCAATGGGATAATGAAAGAACATTGTAATTTTGTAAGAGAATTAGAGAGATAACTTTCCAAGGGAAGTCTAAGATGCCAAAAGGTTGGGCCTTGATGGGCCACAAAGTCTTTGCCATTCCAAAAGTATCATTCATTCTAGGTTGTAACTTACTTGCCAGTGTGTAACAGGGATTTTCTTCGCCCAGCCTCTTCACCTGAGCCTCCAAGAAGACCCTAAAATTTATTCCATTCGCATGAGATGCATAGCTGAAAAAGCGGGATGGAATTTTTGCTGTAATATTGGGCTCTTCCATTCCAAAGCCAAGGTTGTATAGAATCTCTTCAGGATCTTCTCTATACATGTCCAGTATTTCAGAGACACTAGGAACAAATAATTGTCCAGAGTGAGTGAATACATTATGACCAACATCTGGATCCCACACCCAACAGGTGTGAAAAGGAATGAGACAGTCTCTTTGTGTACTGGTTGACTCTCATGCAAATTTATTAAATATTAATGAAGCTATTCATGAACCTAGTGGTCAAAAGAACTTCACGGTCGGAAATGAAATGTGCAATTCTTGAACTTAAATTAGATATTGTTTTACTTTCTGTTGCATTTTTACAATGGAGGTGACAGCTTGTAAACACCCAGAATTATAAAATGGCGAACAGCCAAACCACAACAGAGCAGGGAATATTAACACAATCTGCATTTGTTGTGCAGCATCACAAGCCAACTCAGAATGTAAAACTGTTCTAGAGTTTGTGATACATGCAACATTCTTCATTACTGTCTAAATAATAAACCTTCTTAAAGTTCCCTGCTTTCCAGTATTGAAGCATTCAAGGCCAAATTTAAACTTGAAATAAGTTCAGTAAGGTCAGAAAAATCTGTTTTCTGACCTAAACTCATTTTTTAAACTATCATGGAATATGAGTGTCGCCAGCTAGGCAATATTTATTGCCCGTCCCTAGCTGCTCTTTACAAGGTGATGCAGAGCTGCCTTACTGCTCAGTCCATGTACCATAGGTAGTCCCTTACAGAGGGAATTCCAGAATGTTTGCTCAATGACACTGTAGGAACTGTGAGGTATTGAATATAGGATTTGGCACATCAGTTGAGCTCCTACAGGATGTTGATGAGGCTAATTTTGGAGTACCGGGTACAGTTCTGGTCACCCTTCTATACAAAAAATATTATTAAATTAGAGAGGGTTCAGAAAAGATTTACGAGGATGATGCCGCGACTGGATGGTTTGAGGAGAGGCTGGGACATTTTTCTTCGGAGCATGGGAAGTTTATATAATCATGATGGGCAAAGATAAGATAAATAGAAAAGGTCATTTCACTAGAATGGAGGTGTTCAATATTAGGAGGCATATTCTTAAGGGGAGAGGAGAAAGATTTAAAAAGGACATGAGGGGCAACTTCTTCACACAGATAGTGGTTCTTATGTGGGATGAACTGGCAGAGGAAGTGGTAAATGCAAGTACAGTTACAACATTTAAAAGAAATTTGGACAGGTTTATGAATAGGAAAGGTTTAGAGGGATATGGGCCAAGTGTAGGCAATTGGGCCTAGTGTGGTTTGGGAAACTTGGCAGTCATAGACACGTAGTACTGAAGGGTCTATTTCTGTGCTGTATGCCTCTATTACTCTATGACTCTGTTCCCAAGTCAGGATCATGAATAGCTTAGAAGGGAGCTTGCAGGTAGTGGCAATTCTATGTTTCTGCTGCTCTTGTCCTTCTAGATGGAAGTGTTGTGGTTTGGAATCTAGAGTCTAAGAAACTTTAGTGAATGCTTGCAATGCATTTTGGAGATGGTACCTGCTGCTGCTGCTAGTATTGAACATCAATGATGGAGGGAACGGATGTTTGAAGATGTGGTGCCAATCAAGCAGGCTGCTTTGTCCTGGATGGTACAACCCTTCATTGATTTGGATGGTGTCAAGATGGTAGTTGCCTGGCATTTCTGAAATGCAAATATTACTAATCAATTTCCAACCCAAGGTTGGGTATTGTCCAGGTCTTTCTGCATTTGGGCATGGACTGCTTCAGTATTCAAGGAGTCACAAACATTGCTGAACATTGTGCAATCATCAGCAAACATACACACTCCCAACTTTGTGATGAAGCAGTTGAAGATAATTGGGTTTAGGACACTACCCTGAGAAACTCCTACAGAAATATTCTTGAGCTAAGATGACTGACCTCTAATAATCACAGCCCAGACCATCACAGAAGCCAACCTTCCATCCATGGATTCTATTAACATGGCACAATGCAGCAGAAAGGTGGACAACATCATCAAAGACCCATCGCACCCTGGTAATGACCTCCGACAACTTCTTCACCAGGCAGAAAATATGAAGCTTGAACACACACATGAGCAGGTTCAGGAACAGCTTCTTTCCGGCCGTTATCAGACCATTGAATGGACTCTAGCCTCAAATAATGTAACCTGCAACGTAACCTGTTTGCCTCTAAGTCTTTGCTTACTGTGATTTGCCTGTAACGCTCGTAAACAAAGCTTTTCACTATATTTCGGTACACGTGACAATAAATCAATCAATCATTTTCCTCTGTTCCATGTGTAACTTGAACATGCAGAGAGCTTCCCTTTGATTCTCATTGATTTCAATCTTTCCACAGATTTTTGATGGCACACTCTGTCAAATATGGTCTTGTTGTCAAGAACTTTCACTCTCACCTCTCCTCTGGAATTCAGGTCTTTTGTCGATGTTTGAACCAAGGCTGTAATGAGGTAAGGAAATGAGTGCCCCTAGCAGAACTCAAACTAAGCATCAGTGAGCAAGTTATTGCTGAACAAGTGCTACTTGACAGCACTATTGATGACCCCTACCATCACTTTATTGATGATTGAGAGTCATTTCAATGGAAATAGGGTAATAATTGAATGGGTTGGATTTGTTGTGACTTTTGCATACAGGACATACCTGGGCAATTTTGCACATTGTTGGTATATGTTTGTGTTAGTAGCTGTATCGGAGCAGCTTGGCTAATGGTGCAAATAGATTTAGACAACCTCTTCAGTACTATTGCCTGAATGGTTTCAGGGCCCATAGCCTTTGCAGTATACAGTGGGGCCAACCATTTCCTGATATCATGAGGTGTGAATCGAATTGTCTGAAGACTGGCATTTGTGATCCTGGCGACCTCTGGAGGATTACCCACTCAGCAATTCTGGCTGAAGATTATCGCAAATGCTTCAGCCTTACCTTTTTGCATTACCTAGAGGAACAGAGGGATCTTGAGATCCTTGTCTGCAGATCCCTAAAGATGGCAGGACAGGTTAATAGGATAATTAAAAAGAAATATGGGATAATTGCCTTTATAAATTGTGACATGGATTTTAAGTGCACAGAGGTTATGTTGGAGCCGTTCAAAACTTTAGTTAGGCCACAGTAGAGCACTGCATGTCATTCTGATCACCACACTATAGGAAGTATGTGTTTACATCGGGAGGGGTGCAGAGAAAATTCGTCAGGTTCTGAATAAGGTTCACTGGACTTGAAATGTTAACTCTGCTTTCTCACCATAGATGTTGTCAAACCTGCTGAGTTTCTCCATCAATTCTGGTTTTATTCACCAGGATGTTGCCTGGAATGGAAAAGTTTAGCTGTGACGTGAGTCAAGATAAGTTTGGGTTGTTTTCTTTAAAGCAGAGAAGACTGAGAGAGAACCTGGCTGAGGTTTATAAGATTGAGGGTTGCATAGATAAATGATCTCACAAACAATACATCAGATCTAAGCTCTTCAGTACTGCCATATCCAGTCATGAATGGTGGTGGACAATTAAACAACTCACTAGAGGAGGAAGCTCTACAAATATCCCCTTCTCATTGATAAAAGAGTCCAGAAAATCAAGGCAAAAAAAAAGACTGAAGGATTAATAATGATCTTCAGCCGTAAGTGCTGAATTAATGATCCATCTCAGCCTCCTCCAGAAGTTCCCAGCATCTCACATACCAGTCATCAGCCAATCCAATTCATGTGATATCAAAGACGATTGGAAACATTGGATATTGCAAAGGCTATAGGCCTTGACAATATTTCAGCAACAGTAACAAAGACTTGTGCTTCAGAAATTGCTGGACACTGAGCCAAACTGTTCTGGTACATCTACAACACTGGCATCAACAAATGTAGGAAATTTCCCAGGTATATCTGTAGAAGCAAGCCAACCCAACCAAGTACTACTCATCAGTATACTCTCAATCATTAGAGAAGTGATAGAATATGTTATCAACAGTGCTATCAAGCAGCATCTGTGTAGTGACAACCTGCTCACTGACACACAGTTCACCTTCTGCCAGGGCCAGTCAGGTCCTGATCTCATTACAGCCTTGGTTCAAAGATGGACAAAAGAGCTGAATTCCAGAGGTGAGGTGAGAATGACAGTAGTTAACATCAAGGCTACATTTGAACTGAGTTTAGCATCAAGGAGACCAAGAAAAACTGGAATCAGTGGGTATCAGCAGCAAGCTCTCCCGTGGTTAGAGTCATACCTGGCACAAAAGAAAATGAAGAAGAACAGAAGTTGCTGGAAAAGTTCAGCAGGTCTGGCAGCATTTGTGAAGAAAAATCAGAGTTAATGTTTTGGGTCCAATGACCCTTCCCATGTTCTGAGGAAGGGTCACTGGACCCAAAACGTTAACTCTGATTTTTTTCTTCACAGGTGCTGCCAGACGTGCTGAACTTTTCCAGCAATTTCAGTTTTTGTTCCTGATTTACAGCATTTGCAGTTCTTTCGGTTTTTACAGAGGAAAATGATTATGGTTGTTACAAGTCAATCATCTCAGTTTCAGGACACCTCTGCAGGAGTTCCTCAGGGTAGTGTCCTAAGCTCAACCATCTTCAGCTGCTTCATCAATTACCATTCCTCATCATAAAAATAGGGATGTTTGCCGATGATCGCACAATGTTCAGCACCATTCATAACTTCTGATACACTGAAGCAGTCTGTGTTCAAATGAAACAAGACCTGGTCAATATCCAGGCTTGGGATTAAAAATGGCAATTCATGCCAAACAAATGCCAGGCAATGACTATCTCCAATAAAGCCAATCAAGCCACTGACCTTTGACATTAAATGGCCTTTCCATCACTGAATCCCCATGATCCCCATTGGGGTTTATCATTGACCAGAAATTCAGTTAAACACACCATATAAATACAATGGCTCCAACAGCAGGTCGGAAGCTGGGAATACTGCAGCGAGTAACTCACCTCCTGACTCCCCAAAGCATCTCTATCATCTACAAGGCACAAGTCAGGACTGTGATAGAAAACTCACCTGGATGAGTGCAGCTTTATCAACACTAAAGAAGCTTGACACCATCCAGACAAAGCAACTGATTCGTTTGGCACCACATCAACAACCATCCATTCCTTCCACCACCAACACTCTGCTGCAGTATATATCTACAAGATCTACTGCAGAAATTTTTCAACGATCATCAGACAGTATCTTCCAAAGCCTTGAACATTTCCATCTAGAAGGCAGCAGATACATGGGAACACCACCATCTACAAGTTCACCTACAAGCCACTCACCAACTTTACTTGGAAACATTTACTGTGGCTGAGTTAAAATCCTGAATCCCTCCCTTCTGGCATTATGGGTCTACTTAAAGCATGTGGATCTCAGCAGTTCAAGAAAGCAGCTCACTACTACCTTCTCAACGGCAACTATAGATGGGAAATAAATGCAGGCTTGCCTCTGATGCCCATGTTATGCGACTGAGTGAAAAATAACGCACCTGTTTCACTACTGACCCTCGAGTGAAGAATATCACAGCCCCACATAATCAGACTGACACTTCATGTACCACTCCACATAATCAGACTGACAATTCAAGCAACACTCCATACAATTTGAATGAGCCATCACACACCACTCTCGTCAGCTAGACTCATCCCCCACTCACTACTCCAAATAGTTCGACTGACATCACAATCAACACTATACACAGTCAGAATACCTCACTCACAACTCTACACAGTCAGAATACCTCACTCACAACTCTACACAGTCAGGGATCCTCGCTCACCACTTCACACACTTTGACTGATACCAGATTCCACTCTACACAGTCAGACTGACAACTCACGCACTACTCCACACAGTCAGACAGCATTTTACAAGGTCCCACGTGGGAGATTAATAAATAAGGCAAAAGCACATGGAATCAGGGTAATTTGGCTAAGTGGGATCCAAGACTGGCTTAGTGGCAGGAGACAGAGGACATGGTAGAAAGCTGGTTGTGTGACACGAGCCAGGTGTGCAGTGTCATTCCACAGGGATCAGTGCTGAGTTCCTTATTGTTCATGAAATATATAAACAACATAGATGAGAGTGTGGAGGGGGAGGGATGATAACTAAGCTTGCAGATGACACAAAAATTGGTTGGGTGGTTGACAGTGAGGAAGGAGGTCTTCAGATGGGCAGATCAGTGATAATTTAACACTGATAAATGTGAGGTGATACACTTTGGACGAGATAACAAGACAAGGGAGTCCTCAATGAATTACAGGACATTAGGAAGCTCCGGGGAATCGAGGGATCTTGGGGTGCTTATCCACAAATCCATGAAGGTGCCAGGGAAGGTTCATAGAATCACTGAACCCCTACAGTGTGGAAGTAGGCCATATGGCCCATCGAGTCCAATCACCCCACTGAACGGCGTCCCACTCAGACCCATCCCCCCTACCCTATCCCTGCATTCCTGCAATTTCCATGGCTAATGCATCTAGTCTGCACACTTTTGGACTGTGGGAACACCCAGAGGAAACCCACGCCAATATGTGGAGAAATGTGCAAACTCTACCCAAACCCAGGTCCCTAGCGCTGTGAGGCAGCAGTGCTAACCACTGAGCCATCATGCTGTTAATAGCGTAGTCAAGAAAGAATACAGGACACTTGCCTTCATGAGTTGCGGCATGAGAACAGGGAGGTCATTTTAGTGCTGCACAGACCTTTTGTTAGGCCACAGCTGGAGTACTGTAGACAGTTCTGGTCACCACACTACAGTAAGGATGTGATTGCACTGTAGGGGATGCAAAGGAGCTTCACCAGGATGTTGTCTGCGATAGGCCATTTTAGTTAAGATAAACGGGTTATTTCATTTGGAGCAGAGAAGGTTGAAGTGAGACCTGATAGAAATAAATAAGATTTATGAGGGGCATGAACAGGATGAATAGAAAGCAGACGTTTACCCTTGTTGAAGAATCAAAAATAAGGAATCATAATTTTATGTAAAAGGCTCAATATTTGGAGGGGATTTGAGGAGAAATATCTTACATCCAGAGAGTGGTGGCGTTTTGGAATGCACTGGTGGGAGGGTAGCTGAGGCGGGTAACCTCGCAACTTTTAAAAACTACTTGGATGTGCACTTGAAATAGCATAACGTTCAAGTCAATGGGTCTAATGCTGGACAGTGGGGCTAATGTAGACCTAGTGTCGTTTTGGTGGGACAGATTTGATGGGCCAAAGGGCCTCTTCTGTACGGTATGATTCTCTGATTTTATGATTCTCACTCACCACTGCACATGGTCAGACTAGCTACTCCATACAGTTAGACAGATCCTCACTCACCACTGTACACAGACAATTCCTCATTAACTGCTACACTCAATCAGACAGATCCTCATTCACCGTTGCACACAGTCAGACAGATCTCAGTTTTGTACTACCTCCTGTTTCATTGACCAATCTTGTTTAATTAAGTAGAGGATTGCCCTATATGGATTTGAGCAGAACTTACATTTTTGAATACTACATTGAATACCTTCCACAGTAGCTTTACCCATAAATAGTTCTAAACTGAATACTATGAACAACTGACCTTAGTTCAATTTAAATGTACACTTGGTGACTCATGCTCTCAAAACCTAATCATGTTCTGGTCATTAATAGCCTGTGTGTTCGCCCCATTGGATTATTCATTATTTTTAAATTCTGGGCTTTGTTCTTATTACAAATGCTGAACATTATTGTCGTACCTGGAAACTGTTCCAACTGTTCCTCCAGAGACAGTAGTTGAGGCCTTGCTCCTGCTCATCTGCAACATCTGCTGACTCTTGGTGACTTGTGGTGTGCTAAGTGAAAACAGATAACATCAATGGTATTGCACAGATAGGGTCAGTATTACTACACTAACATTGTGTGAGACTCAAGAATGCCACTGGAGTTAAAGGGCGAAGCAAATGCAGATAGAATGATGTCAGGACTGTGTGGGACAGTTGGGAGTGGAGGCAGTGAAGTTAAAGGGAGTGAGTGCAGACGGAACTGCATTAACAAAATTGAACTGCAATGCCCCAGGAGGTTGGTAATTACCGGGCATTTCTCTCTTTTCTCTTGTGACTGGGTATTGATTTATGTTAAGACATTAAGTACAGTGTAAAACTTTGAATGGATAGATAGAAACAAAATCAGACATTGCTGAAAAAACTCAATAGGTATGGCATATAGTATCTGTGGAGAGAAAGCAGAGCTAACGTTTCAGGTCCAGTGACAGTTCAGAACATTCTGGTTGTTTGCTAATAAAAAGAAGAATTTTCCAGACTGTACATAAGTAACCATGATGTGGGGGTGCCAGTGTTGGATTGGAGTGGACAAAGTCAGAAGTCACACAACATCAGATTGAGCAGCACGGTGGCTCAGTGGTTATCACTGCTGCCTCACAGCGCCAGGAACCCGGGTTTGATCCCACCTTCAGGCGACTGTCCGTGTGGAGTTTGCACATTCTTCCTGTATCTGTGTGGGTTTTCTCTGGTTTCGTCCCACAGTCCAAAGATGTACAGGCTAGGTGGATTGGCCATGCTAAATTGCCTGTGGTGTTCAGGGATGTGTAGGTTAGGGGGATGGGTCTGGGTGGGATACTCGGAGGGTCGGTGTAGACTTGTTTGTTTAAAGGGCCTGTTTCCACACTGTAGGGATTCTATGAAAAAAATCAGATATAGTCCAACAAGTTTATTCAAATAAACCTGTTGAACTATAACCTGGTGCCGTGTGACTTCTGACTTTGTGCATAAGTAAGAGCAAGGGTGAAATAAAAGCAATGGCCCGTATTCTATTTATTTAAAATATGTCTGGGGATCTCTGCCCCACGATTTGCACATTTTCCATTGCATTATCTTCACAGTTTGGATAACCATCAATGCAGAAAGTGCCGCCAGCTGAAGCAGATGGACCTCTAAGTTTTGGGGCTTGAGCTGTAGCTGGGGCACAATGGTGGGAGGCTGGGAGGCAAAGGAAGCATAAGATACACAACAGTGAAGTGAGCTTAGCATGAATAAATATTTTAATCAAAGTGCATGAGGAAAAAGACAAGTGAGCTGAGGGCACGGGTAGGCATATGGGGGAATGACATCATAACTATGATCTAGATTTAGCTAAAAGATGGGCAGCATTGGCAGCTCAATATTCCTGGTTATAAGGTATTCAGTCAAAACAGAGAGGGGAATAGATAAGGGATGGGGTCACAATGCTGGTGCAGGAATCAGTTATAGCAGTGAGTAGAAATGGTCCTTTGGAATGATCAATGAAAGGAAGGCATGTGGGTAGAAATAGAAAACACAAAGGAAAAACACACTGCTGAGTGTGTATTATAGGCCTGCAAACAGGCTGGAAGTGATAGAGGATTATGTGATCAGGTATGTAATCAAATTTCAGAGATTTTGTAAGAATAGTAAGGCAGTAATAGAAGGAAATTTTAACTACCCAAATATTAACTGAGATTGTTTTAGTGTGAAAGATGGAGAGGGAACAAAGAGGGTTCCAGAAATGAAAAACTTCAGTGAATTGAAGGACTTGGGACTGTTCTCCTTGGAAAGAAGGTCTTGTAGATTTAATAGGTGCTTGCAAAACCATGTGCAGTCTGGATAGAGTAGATAGGGAGAAGCTGTTCCCATCCTTGAAAGGAAAAAGTGACATCATGGAAACCAACCTTCCGTCCATGAACTCCATTTACATGGTTCACTGCCATGGAAAGGCTGCCAACATCATCAATGACCCATTGAACCCTGGTAATGATCCCTTCAATCTCTTCTGTCAGGCAGAAGATACAGAAGCCTGAAGGCACGCATGAACAGGTTCAGGAACAGCTTCTGCCTGATGAATAGACTCTGTAGCCTCAAGTAATGCTGGTCTTGCTAATGTTGATCTTGCCTAGCTCACGCCCTGTGCGATGTAGCCTATATGCCTCTCTCTAAGTCTTTTTGATCTGTGAATCGTTGCTTACTATGGTCTGACTGCACACCTCATAAACAAAGCTTTTCACTGTACTTCGCTTCCTATGACAATCAATCAATAAATCAATCAGTCAAGAGGGCAAAGTTTAAAGTGAGGTGCAAAAGAAGCAAGGATGAAATGAGAAAAACTTTGCAAGTACTTATGGTATGAAATATACTTCTTTTAAATGCAGTGTCGGCATTCAAGAGGGCATTGGATGATTATTAGGATAGGAATAGAGTCCAAGGGAATGAGGAGAAACCTGGATATTGGCACTAGATAATGATGCTCGCTTGAAGGGCTGATGCAGGCATGTTGGGTTGAATGAACTGTGATTCTGTGAAAATTATGAAATGGCATTAAGGAGAATTTTTGTAGCTAGTAAATATATGAAGTCCAAAAAAAAGGGGACAATTCTAATCCTAATATTTGGAAATAAGTCCGGGCAAGTGGAAGGTATGCCAATAGAGCAGCACTTTGATGATAGTACTATAAATCATTTAGATTTAGAATAGTAATGGAAAAGGACATGGATAGACCAGAAATAAAAATTCTGAACTGGGGATGCTCACATAAGTTGTGATTTTGCCCAAATGGATTGGGATCAGCTACTTACAGATAAAACATCAGCAGTGGGAGGCATTCAAAGAGCAAATAGTGACAGTACAGGGCAAATATATTCCCATAACGACAAAGGGTGGGATCAGAGACTGGTAACTCCTAGATGTTGAGATACATGAAAGGCCAGATTAGGAAGAAAATAAAAGCTTATGGCTGATAATGAGGATTTAGTAGAGCGGAGTCTCTGGAGGAGTATAAAAAGTGCAGAGGCCAATTAGGAACCATAGAGATGGACCCAGAAAACATGGGTACATTCCTCAAATGAATACTTTGTGTCAGTCTTCACAGTGGAAAAATATGATGCAGATATAGACATCATGGGTGGAGGATTGTGAAATATTATAAGATATTAAATTAGAGAGAGAGAGAGAGAGAGGGTAGAGACATAGGATTAGCAGTGTTAAAAGTTAATAACTCTGCTGATGAGATGTATCCCAGATTAGAAGCCATAGAATAGAAGCCACAGAAATGATTCAGCCCATCTTATCCAAGTCAACCCAAAGACACCCAAATGTCCTTTCTAATGCCATCTTCCTGTACATGGCCCATAGCCCTGCAATCTACAGCACTTAAGGTACAGATCCAGGTACTTTTTCAAAAGGTTTAGGGTCCCTGCCTCCACCATCAACTCAGCCAATGAATTCCAGACACTCACCACCCTCTATGTATAGAATAGAATCCCAACATTAATCATGGAATCTCTACAGTGTGGAAGCAGGACATTCGTCCCCCATCGAGTCCACACCGACCTTCTGAGGAACATCCCACCCAGACCCACCCCCTACACCATCCCTGTATTTCCCACCCTAGAAACTATGGGCAATTTAGCATAGCCAATCTACCTAACCTGCACATCTTTGGACTGTGAGTGGAAACCGGAGCGCCCGGAGAAAATCCACGCAGGTACGGGGAGAATGTGCAAACTCCACACAGACAGTCACCCAAAACTGGAATCAAATTCAGGTCCCTGGCACTGTGAGACAGCAGTGCTAACCACTGAGCTACCATGCCAAGGTTCTTCCTCAAATCCCCGAAAATGCTTCTGCCATTTATATTGAATTTATAACCCCTGGTTTTAGAGTACTCGGCCAAGGGAACAGGTTCCTCTGTCTACTCCAACCCTACCCCTTACAATTTTGTATACTTCAATTATGTTCAGCCTTATCTGTTCCAAGGAAAACAATCCAAACTTTCCAATCTCTCCTTGGAGCTACAATTGTCCAGCCCTGGCAACATTCTAGTAATTTTTTTCTGCACTTTCTCCAGAACAATTATGTCCATATTGTAATGAAAAACTGGTACTGCACACTACACTCCAGTTGTGGCCTCACGAGTGTCTTATACAGTTTCATCATTACGTCCCCACTTTTGTTAGACAACACCAGGTTGTAGCCCAACAAATTTATTTGAAATCACAAGCTTTTGGAGCATTTGCCCCTTTGTCAGGTGAAGTGAAAGGGAAACACAGGCACAGAATTTATAGGCAGAGAGATCAATGGGCAGAGAGAGCAAAAGACCATACAATTGGTGTGAGTAGAGTGTCGACAGGCCGAATAATAGTTCTCTGCAGGTGATCAACAGTGTCAGATGGTGAGTAAAGTGTCAACAGCTGAATAACAAGTAAGGGGATGACCTATAATCCGATTAAATGAGGCAGCGAGATAACTACAAAAAATTAAAAATAAGGTGGTGCTGGCGACAAACCAAATGACTGGAATAACATGATACCTTTAAGAGTCGCATGCTGATGGCCTAACCAAAGTAATAAGCAATCCAAAATTGTACAAACTAATTACAGTAGAGAGATCATAATGATTTATCCAGGTGATGGTGTCAAACCAGGACAGTAAGGAAGATTTTACAGATACAGAACAGTATGGTGGGGTTACTTGTAGTGGGACATGAATCCAAGGTCACGGTTGAGGCCGTTTTCATATGTACAGAACTTGGCTATCAGTTTCTGCTTGGCTATTCTGCATTGTTGTATATCTTGAAGGCTGCCTTGGAGGACGCTTACACGAATATCGGAGGCTGAATATCCTTAACTGCTGAAGTGTTTCCTAACTGGGAGGAAACATTCCTGTCTGGCAATTGTAGTGCAGTCACCATTCATCCATGTTGTAGCGTCTGCGTGGTCTTGCCAATATACCATATCTCGAGGCATCTTTGCCTGCAGCATATGAGATAGACAACATTGGCTGAGTTACATGAGAATCTGCTGTGTACATGGTTCATGTTGTTCCCA